AAGAATGTCACTGGTCTTGTGTATACTTAATTAGAAGGTTACTGAAAGCCTGCAAAATTATAGATCAGCACTGAATCAAAAAAAAATGACAAAAAACAAATATTATAAATATAGGAATATTTTTGTCGAACGTTAAAGAAACACAAGTTTTAGATAAACTTACTAAGCTGTCGCTGAATAAGAGGGCCATTGATCGATAAAGGGAAAGGAGTTTATATGTTATAAAAACAAATGTAAGCTTATATTTTTTTTACATAATAAACGACAAATCGATTGAATTTTGAAAAAACCAAATCGATTACAATCATGATAATATAATAGGATTATACCGGCCCCCAAACGACTTTTCGTTTATGGAAATATACTGTTGGTAGACAACGTTAAAGGTAGGATTACAAAAGCCATCTCTTTGAATATTTAACATTCAATACCGCTTCGTACAGTTTCGTTCTTAACATTATTTTCGCGTCTATAACATCACAGATCAAGATTTCGCAGACAGCGATAACAGTACCTTTTCCAATTAAAATATAAGTTTAACATATTTAAGCTTTTATTGAGAAAAACTCCCGATGGTAAAAAAAATAGAAAATTTCGATTTGTGCGAACGTCGTATTTTGGAGCAGAGTAGAAATATTGGAATGTACACAAGATCGACGCGAAGAGGTTCGAGAACGTTTGATCGAGATCATAACAATTTTAAGACGAAACTTGAATTGTGATCAAGTTCTCCCTTCACGATCACTCAACGAAAGATTCAAACATAAAAAAAACTGCTAATTTACCAACAATGACTAGAAAAGGTTATAGTTATTAAAGATTTGTAAGGTAGTGATAATTATCTTGTAGAATAAGACTGGCCTCACAGGACTTCTACCAAAGGAGGCCGGAAGTACAATTTTCTCGGAAATGATTTTACCTTGAGCACGTCCATTATCACTTTTAACGTCGTTGCCACGCTGTCGTCGTAAACTTCAGGCACGTTAGCCCCAGAGAAAGCGTCTCGGGACATTTGTTGGATTGGATCAAGCGATTGTCGTCGTGGAGAGAAAGATTGTATCGTTAATAATAATCATTTGACGAACATGGCTTGTTTGCTTTTATCTTTAAATATGGCGCCTTTGTTCGCAGCCTCGCAACTGTGACTTCCGCTTTTCTCTGGGGAGGGGAAAGGAGATTTGTGTTTTCAGCTGAGGAAAATTAATTGGCTCCCGTTATTATTGTTATTTCTACTACTGCTTTTGGCGTTATTTATTTTATTTTATTTTTTTCATTTGGTGTATGTATGGGGCAAGAACTTGGAGCACGAGCCTTTCGGCGAGCAAATTTATGTTTGTTTTCCGTTGAAGTTTTTCCTTTCCTTTTCCGCCCTTGGCAGATTTTGTTAGTGTCTGCTTCCGCCATCTTCTCCATCGGATTGACCATTTTTACTTCCTTTCCGACATGAAAAAGCACTACCAGGGGCGAAAGCGTGCGACAGCAAATAGCAGGCCTTTTTGAAAGGTTATTTGGTCTAATTTCAGAATCTGGTTTTTTAGTTTCTATCTGTGGTACAGTAAAACACCAAGTTCTTAATAACAGTTGCTATAGAGCTCTATCGTAAATTTGTTACGCGTTATTGCAATCACAAAAACCTACAGTACAATGAAATGGATAATTCAGTGTACAATATCAGCAAAACTTTGTAGAGGTTGAAAACGTATTTATCAAATGCTATTTTACTTCCATGGGTAGAAAAAGTTATCATTTCTTGGCGGCCACCAAAAAAAATGAAAATTCAACTCAAAGAAAAAAAAGTCTACAAAGGCAATTTTGGTTTTGTGGTGAAAACGTCATTTTCTTTAGATTTACTTTTCGACGGAGAGCCTTACTATTAACACCAAGGCCGAGTTGTTCAAAGCTGGGTTAAGATAATCCAGGGTTAGTGTGAGGTTTGAATCCAGATTTCAAAGCTTAAAAAGCATTTCAGTTTTAATTCTTTTGTTTACAAGTTTATGATTGAAAGCTCTGAAAATAACAGAGAAAATTATCCGAGAAAATGCTTTTGAACACAAGAAAGAGAAACCCGGGGTTAAGCGCTAATGGGCCTTCGAACAACTGGGCCCAGGTGTCTACCTCCATCGAACCACAAAATATGGTATCTTTTTAAGACGAAATAAGCGAGAATTATTAACTTCTTAACAATAGTCTGTGTGTAGTCGTCCACGTTGTTGGCAGAGAAGCATAAAATTCCCATCAACACCATATACTCTTCGTTGTTTTTTATTTGGCAGAAGCACATTTTTGAAAATCAAACTGACAAAAACTCAGGTTTCTTGGATCTAATTTTGCTCTTTTTTTAACCTGTTTTATATTTTCGACAATGACTATACTCATGAAGGGTGAATTAAAAGGAAAATATTTGTTACTCTTAACTGAATCGACATTTCATTCGCTTTCCATCATCATGAACTCAAATTCGCCAGAGTGGGGCATATTTTTACACCCCGTATAGGTTTATACAGATCAGCAAAGATGGGAAGAGAAAATGTAATTACATAACTAAAAGAAGAAACTCAATGTCAATTTACATGAGATTATGAACATGAAATTGTTCGCAAGCTGTTCAATTTTAACTTTGCTGGAGGCAAAAGGAAGATTGTCCTAATTAAATTCCACTGCGATCAAACATCGTTTTTTAAAGGAAACATTTATTCTATTCGCCATTGAACTAATCCAGCGAAATGTTTAAACCTTTTCACGAAGACAGCAAACATTATGACCGAATCTAAATAAATAAACTAATTAATGAATGAATTGCTCAGGCTTGTACACGGAAACAAAACAAAAAAATACAAATCTGTTAAGAAATTGATCAGAAAGTATTGCGTATTTAAGATTTAATTTCTTGAAGTGATCGTTAAAACGTGAAGCTCGTGACGAAAATAAACCACTTAACAGAGTCTTAAGTCGATAACGACTTAAGACTCGTACCGTCGAACGGAGTACACATAGACATTTTGAAGTAGACAAACACCACGAAATTATCCTTCCAATGCAAAGTAGCTTTTCCTCTGGAATACGTTAATTTTTCTCCGCACCTAAGCAATTAACCTTGTTTTCGTTGAAGGAAATCAAGCAGTGATGTCAGTAATAAAGAAGATAGTGGAAAGGAGCGATATGAAAATTAATTCTCTTTATAAAAAATGTCAGTGGAGCAACTTCAATTTGTATTTATCGGAACGGGGCATACAAAAACAACGGGGATCCATGGCCAACAACCTTCTTGTTAGAGGTAATTACAAGTAAAGAATGAGCCGAACATAATCAAAGATTTAATAATTCTTAGGAAAACAGGAGGCCATCTGACCCCTCTATTCTATGACTAAGTTAAACAAAATTTATTTTTATGATGTGATGAATAAATGGATTTCATATATTTGAACCGCGGTCTAAGAAGAAATAAATCGCAACTTGACTGCAGTTGACTCTTTATTTATATTGTTCTGTTATATTTAACCGTTCATTTCTCTTTCTCCAAGTATCTTCCCCCTTAATTACTTACTTGAAATTATCCGGTTCACCATTTTCAATATGCGTGTACCATTTCTCCGGCGCATTAAATCTAAAGTCTAAAGGCAGAGATGAATTTTTTTTAATTTCATTTCATTGTAGTATATCTATACAACAGCAAACTCAACTTGCTGGCAGGTGGGCGAATACATGTATTTCTGAAAAGATGTTTTAAACAGTCAAGGGTCGAAACCTAATACAGTGGTATCATTTTGGCTGCGAACAAAAAAAGATTCATTTGTTACTCACAAAAATAGCCTGACAAAAGCCAATTACTTTCTCGCTGTGAAAACATTACTAGATCTTGTTAGAATTCAGTGTTTGTTTCAATTGCTTTCATCAATGTCGAAATAAGACAGAATACTGCACGCAAGTATTTATAAAACCATGAACTAAATTATTCTGGTTCGTAACAATACAGTCGTCAGTCTGGTCAACCAGACTGAAGGCAGTAAGGCATAAACTCCACATGTTTTCATCCCACCATTATTATAACTTTTTATCACTGGGAATTAGAAACTGGCATGCTTTTAGGTTTCCTCTTTTCAACGTAGATGCCTCTAGTAATTAATCGTGAGGGAATTATTTTTTAGACATTTCACTCGCTTGAAATCACTAACTTAAGTTTTCAGTTCCACATCAGTTTGCAGCTTAAGCTGGAAAGAAGGGAACGTTATATATCCCGGTAACGAGATCAGTTTGCGCCACCTGAAAGTTCAGGGCTCTTTTTGAAACGTTATTTTGCTTAATTCAAAACTTGGATTTCTAGCTCCTATCCGTGAAGCAGTATTTACAAGTTTAACATAATTGTATCAAATTATCAATAACCGCAAAAACTTACAAAGAAATTCGGAAACTTTAGTGTCCTTATATCAGTTAGAGCTTTGCACGGGCGAAAAAAGAGTTATAAAAGAGTTATCGTTTTTTGGCGGCCAGCAAAGAATTTTTTTTCTTATGAGTTAAAAATAATATACAAAAGCCATTTATACGTTTTGTGATGAAAATTTCATTTTTTTAGATTTAATAATTTGTCAACGGTGAGGTTTCAAATTGACGCGATCTTAAAAATACGGTACTGTAGTTTTTTTAAATGCGAAATATTCGAGAATTGCCAAACGAATAATCCGTAACTAGTTCATAACACTGATAGTCTATGTACAATGTCTGGTCGGCCACGTGTTGGCATCGAAGCGTAAAATTACCTTCAACATCAAATACTCGATCCTCGTTGCTTCTTATTTAATTTGCGAGAGATGCACCTATTTGAAAATCAAAGTGACACCATTTCAGGCTATCCGGCTTCAGTGCCTAAACAGGTGAGGTTGGAAAACGAATTCGAAATCCTTGAAAATTTCATCCATCTTCTCTCATCACGTTAAGATGATGTTTTCATATTCGCATCTAGCGATATTTGGGCAAGTTAAGAATAATTAAACTGACAGTACTATTGCCGTTTAATCTTGTTCTTAATTTGTTAATTGTGAATTGCTTCTTCCAATTTGAAAGTTGCGATCTATAGTGATACCTGTAGTTCACAAACTGTATTAACCTCAGTCAGTAGGGGAAAGTGTAGGATGGTTAAAATGTTTACTTCACTTCTGAAAATATTGAGTGGAATTAATTATTTTTGATGTAAGTGACAGTTTCATATTTTAATATGAAACTGTCATTTCATATACATTTCATGAAGAACAACTAAAAACGCTGTTATAATGTCTTTCCCCCGGGGGGGGGGGGGGGGGCCCCCCCCAAATAGGGGTTATATGGGGCGGGCCGGGGGGGAGAGAATTGTTTTTTAGGGCTTGGTCGTTTTGTATGGGTTGTTTTTTTTTCGAAGAAGAAGGTGTGCTAGGTGTTGTTGTGTTTGTGGGGTGGTCGGTTTTTTTCTTTCAGAAAAAAAAAATATGGGTGTTATTTTTTTTTTTTTTTGTAGTTATATTTTTTTTATTTTTAAAAAAAACTTTTTTTTTAATTAATTTTAAGAAAAAAAAAAAAAAAACGTTTTTTTATTTTCCCCCCGGGGGGGGGGGGGGGGGGGGGGCTACTCCCATATATGGGCTATATAGGTACGTGCCGGGGAATAGGATATCGTTTTTGAGGTTCTCGGTCCTTAAATAGGGTATCTTTTTTGACCCTTTTGTTTCTGTGTCCCTGGTGTGGTCCTTAGATAGGGTAGCTTAATTGTATTATCTAATACTGGAGTGTGAAAACGCCCGCCTAAACGAACATTTTTTTTTTGTTAAACTAGGCTTATTCTAGTATTTTATGCTTGATGCTATACATCCAATGTTACAGAGAAGAAATAAAGTTTTCCTTTTCATGCTATTTATAATATTGTTTTTTCCTTGAATAGGGTGTCATTTTTCGGCTTTTGGCCTTAAAAAGGGTATCAGTTTTCGCTTTCTCAGTCCTTAAATAGGGTTAGGGTTCATGAACCTTCGCGGCACACCCCTATCCAAAATTCGCGGGAGTACCCTCCCGGGTGTCTTTCTCTCTTTTCCTAAAAAAATGATTTTAAGGTCTGACAGAAGAACTTTGTCCCAATTTAGCAAGTTTTGCTGAGACTTTTTCCGCTGCATTAATTTATACTGAGGGTTTGTATAAAGATTTCCGATCCGTGTACACTTTCCATTGGAATTTGTCTTTAACATCTCGTTTTCCTCTAGTGTACAATGCATAATTAATACCTACCTGTTCCGGAACCGGAAGCTTTTTATTGGCAGCATGCTGACAAACCCGTTTTCTCATATGGCATATTTTCTTGTCTGTTTGGCCATCGTGCGCACTGAGATTGACCAGTTTTTTCTCTTTTGAAACAAGTAGGGGAAACTATTGGGCTGAAAGAGTGAGACACCTATAAAGGTTATTTTATTTAATTGAAATACAAGATTCGCAGTAATAACGCTCAACGAAAAATCTGATCAGCTGTGTAAGAACACATCGAGCTCCAACGTACCCTAATTAGTTATTTACAAGCTGGACTAAATTAAATTTATACAGTCTTGATGTTTGTTAACTATGCAGAAATCTCAACAAGAGATGTATAGTTCAGTGTCATATGTCCGTAAAATTGCGCTGAGGAAGAATAAAAATATTTCGGAAACGCTGCCAGTTTCATTTTTACGGGCGAAAATAAGATGGTTTTAATTTTTGGCTGTCAGCAAAATATTTTCTTATTACACACAGAAACGGTCTGACGAAAGCCAATTACTTTCTTGTGAAAATATAACTGGATTTTTTAGAACTTGTATTTACTTTCATCAACCTCAAAAAGAATGCAGTATTTTTTCCCTTTTTTAAAAGATGGAACACTGTATGCAAGAATTACCAAATATTAAGAGCAGGAGCCAATTCAGAGCTCCTGTTAAGAGTCAAAACAAAACAGACAACATAGTCATAGGCCACGCTGAAGGTAATAATAACGTCAGGCACATGTTTTCATGCCCTTTTTTTCTCCATTTTTATCGACGGGAATTGAAATCTGACTGACATACTTCTTTTTTATTGATAGCTACCTTCGGTAATAAAGCATCGTGAATGGAGGATAAAAGAAGAAAGATTTTTTCAACATTTCACTCGCTTACTGAATCATAACCTGTGGTTAAGTTCGCAGAAACGGTAAGTGGTAGAAATTTTAATAGTGAAAATTATTGTTTTTCGGTAAAAATGCCACACAGAAATTTTTCACGAGTTTTATTTGTTATTTGCCAGCAAATCTGGCATATGAAAAATAAGAAAAGTGAGAAAACAACGTGATCCATCGACTACCTAGATAGAGGTAATTATTATTTTGAATTAACTTAACGGAGTAAATCAGAATTCCTCTCTACATTAAAATGTAGTTCCATTTAGAATTCTTTTGAGTAATGTAAAGTTTTTATCTTCATGTATTACATCAGAGTCTAAAAAGGTAATATGATTCTACTTTTAAGTGATTTTTCATTAGTTAAGAGCTTATCTCGCTCCGGTGACTCAAATTGATAAATAAAGCTAGAAAAGGAATTTCGAAATCCAAGAAAATATAGGGGAGTTTCAGCGAGTAAAAACAATGTTTGCAATTAATGCTAAAAAGTTGTTAGTAAACACTTGTATGTCAGCGAGCCCCATGACCAAGGAGTACGAGCCAATTTCGACCATTTTTACTTCCTTTCAGACAGAAAAAAAACCAGCAGGGGCAAATACGTGCGAGAGCAAATAGAAGGCCTTGTTTTAAAGGTTATTAAATTGGTCTAATTTCAAAATCTGGTTTTCTAGCCAGTTCTGTCTGTGGTACAGTAAAACACCAAGTTGTTAATAACAGCAGCTAGATCATAATTATTTATTTATTACCCGTTATCACAAAAACCTATAGTACAACGAAATGGATAATTCAGTGTACAATATTAGTAAAACTTTGCAGAGGCTGAAAACGTATTTATCAAATGCTGTTTCACTTCCATGGGTAGAAAAAGTTATCAATTCTTTGCGGCCAGCAAAGAAAATGAAAATTCAACTTATAAATTTAAAAAAGTCTGCAAATTAAAAGCAGTTTTGGTTTTGTGGTGAAAACCTCATTTTCTTTAGATTTACTTTTCGACGGATAGCCTTCCTATTAACTCCAGGATCTTTTAAAGACGAAATAAACGAGAATTACCAAATAAGTGACCTGTAACTTCTTAACAATAGTCTATGTGTGGTCGTCCACGTTGTTGGCAATGAAGCATAACTCCCATCAACACTAGTTACTCCTCGTTGTTTTTTATTTGGCAGAAGCACATTTTTGAAAATCAATCTAACACAAACTCAGGCTACTTATCTTATTTTTGTTCTTTTTTTTATTTAACCTATTTTATATTTTCGACAATGACTATACTCATGAAGGGTGAATTAACACGAAAATATTTGTTACTCTCAACTGAATCGACATTTCACTCGATTTCCATCATCATGAACTCAAATTCGCCAGAGTGGGGCAAAGTTTTGCACCCCGTATGGGTTTATACAGATCGGGAAAGATGGGAAGAGAAAATGTAATTATACAACTAAAAGAAGACACTCAATGTCAATTTGCATGAGATTATGAACATGAAAATGTTCGCAAGCTGTTCAATTTTAACTTCGCTGGAGGCAAAAGGAAAATTGTCTTAATTCCACTGCGATCAAACATCTTTTCTTTAAGGAAGGATTTATTCTATATCGCCATTGAACTCAACCAGCAAAATGTTTAAACCTTTTCACAAAGAGAGCAAACACTATGACCGAATTTAAATAAATAAACTAATTAATAAATGAATTGCTCAGACATGTACACAGAAACCAAAAAAATACAAATCTGTTGAGAAATTGATCAGCAACTATTCCGCATTTAAAATTCACTTTTTGAAGTGATAGTGAAAAAGTGAAGCTCGAGAACATAAACTGCTTAACAGAGTCTTAAGTCGATAACGACTTAAGACTCGTACCGTCGAACGGAGTATATATAAACGTTTTGAAGTAGACAAACACCACGAAATTATTCTTCCAATGCAAAGTAGCTTTTCCTCTGGAATACGTTAATTTTTCTCCGCACCTAAGCAATTAACCTTGTTTTCGTTGAAGAAAGTCGAGCAGTAATGTCAGTAATAAAGAAGATAGTGGAAAGGAGCGATATGAAAATTAATTCTCTTTATAAAAAATGCCAGTGGAGCAACTTTATTTTGTATTTATCGGAACGGGGCATACAAAAACAAGGGGGATCCATGGCCAACAACCTTCTTGTTAGAGGTAAGTAACGAATGAGCCGAACATAATCAAAGATTTGATAATTTTTAGGAAAACAGGAGGCCATCCGACCCCTCTATTTTATGGCTAAGTTAAACGAAATTTATTTTTATGATATGATGAATAAAAGAACCGCGGTCTATGAAGAAATACATCGCAACTTGACTGCAGTTGACTCTTTATTTATATTTTGCTGTTATATTTAACCGTTCATTTCTCTTTCTCCAATTATCTTCCCCCTTAATTACTTACATGAAATTATCCGGTTCTTCATTTTCAATATGCGCGTACCATTTCTCCTTCGCAGTAAATCTAAAGTCTAATGGCAGAGATGAATTTTTTTTATTTCATTTCATTATGGTATATCTATACAACAGCAAACTCAACTTACTGGCGGGTGGGCGAATACATGTATTTCTGAAAAAGGTGTTTCAGACAGTCAAGGGTCGAAACCTAATACAGTGGTATCATTTACTTTTTGGCTGCGAGCAAAAAAGATTCATTTGTTACTCACAAAAATAGCCTGACAAAAGCCAATTACTTTCTCGCTGTGAAAACATTACTAGATCTTGTTAGAATTCAGTGTTTGTTTCAACTGCTTTCATCAATGTCGAAATAAATTTATGTAAAGACGGAATACTGCACGCAAGTATTCATAAAACCATGAACTAAATTATTCTTAGGTTTGTAACAATACAGTCTAGTCAACCAGACTGAAGGCAATAAGGCATAAACTCCACATGTTTTCATCCCACCATTATTATAACGTTTTATCACTGGGAAATAGACACTGGCATGCTTTTAGGTTTCCTCTTTTCCACTTAGATACCTCTAGTAATTAATCGTGAGGGAATTAAAGGGGAAGCCGATTTTTTTGACATTTCACTCGCTTAAAGTCACTAACTTAAATCAGTTTGCAGCTTAGGTTAAACTGAAAAGGCTGGAAAGAAGGGAACGTTATATATCCCGGTAACGAGATCAGATTGCGCCACCTAAAAGTTCAGGGCTCTTTTTGAAACGTTATTTTGTTTAATTCAAAATTTGGATTTCTAGCTCCCATCCGTGAAGCAGTATTTACAAGTTTAACATAATTGTATGAAATTATCAATTAGCGCAAAAACTTAAAAAGAAATTCGGAAACTTCAGTGTCCTTATACCAGTTAGAACTTTACAGGGGGCGAAAAAAGAGTTATTATGAAATATTGTTTCCTTCCAAGAGTAAAAAGAGTTATCGTTTTTTGGCGGCCAGCAAAGAATTTTGTTCTTATGAGTTAAAAATAATCTACAAAAGTCATTTATACATTTCGTCATGAAAACTTCATTTTTTAGATTTAATAATTTGTTATTTGTCATATAATCTTGTTCTTAAATTGTTAAGAAAGTTGCGATCTAGTGATACCTGTAGTTCACAAACTGTATTAACCTCAGTCAGTAGGGGAAAGTGGAGGATGGTTACAATGTCCACTTCACTTCTATGAATATTGAGTGGAATTATTTATTTTTAAATAAATGTAGAACAAGGTGCTAAGTCACGTACATTTCATAAAGAACAACGAAAAACGCTGTTTATCATGTCTTTCCCCCTTTTCCTAAAAAAATATTTTAAGGTCTGACAGATGAACTTTGTCTCAATTTAGCAAGTTTTGCAGAGACTTTTTCCGCTGCATTAATTATAAATTATACTGAGGGTTTGTATAAAGATTTCCGATCCGTGTTCATTTTCCGTTTGAATTTGTCTTTAACATGTCGTTTTCTTCAATGCATAATTAATACCTACCTGTTCCCGAGACTTGAATTGGCACCATGCTGTTTTCTCACATGGCATATTTTCTTGTCTGCTTGGCCATCGTGCCCACTGAGGTTGACCAGTTTTTTCTCTTCTGAAACAAGTAAGGGGAAACTATTGGGCTGAAAGAGTGAGACACCTATAAAGGTTATTTTATTTAATTGAAATACAAGATTCGCATTAATAACGCTCACCGAAAAATCTGATCAGCTGTGTAAGAACACATCGAGCTCCAACATTGGCACGTACCCTAACTAGTTATCTACAAGCTGGATTAAATTAAATTTATACAGTCTTGATTTTTGTTAACTATGCAGAAATCTCAATAAAAGATGTATAGTTCACTGTCATGTCAGTAAAATTGCGCTGAGGAAGAATAAATATATTTCCCAAACGCTGCCAGTTTCATTTTTGGGGACGAAAATAAGATGGTTTTAATTTTTGGCTGCCAGCAAAATATTTTCTTATTACACGCACAGAAACGGTCTGACGAAAGCCAATTACTTTCTTGTGAAAATATAACTGGATTTTTTAGAACTAGTATTTACTTTCATCAACCTTAAAAAGAATGCAGTATTTTTTCCTTTTTTTAAAGACGGAACACTGTATGCAAGAATTACCAAATACATTTCGTTATCCATTAAGAGCAGGAGCCAAAGAGCTCCTGTTTAGAGTCAATGAAAACAAAACAGACAACGTAGTCTAGTAGGCCACGCTGAAGGTAATATAACGTCAGGCACATGTTTTCATGTCCTTTTTTTCCATTTTTATCGACGGTAATTGAAATCTGACAGGCTTCTTTTTTATTGATTTAGCTACCTTAGGTAATAAATCCGTCGTGAATGGTGGATAAAAGGAGAAGGATTTTTTCGACATTTCACTTGCTTACTGAATCATAACCCGTGCTTAAGGTCGCAGAAACGGTAAGTGGTAGAAATATTAACAGTGAAAATTATTGTTTTCGGTAAAAATGTCATACACAGAAATGTTTCATTTTTATTTGCCAACAAATCAGGCATATGAAAAATAAGAAAGGTGCGAAAACAACATTACCCATCGACCAGCCCCGTCTAGCTGATAGATGTAATTATTATAATTTTAAATTAACTTAACGGAGTAAATCAGAATTTCTCTCTATATTAAAATGTAATATGTGATTTTTGAAACAGTGGCTAAACCTTCAATTTCACGTATAAATATGTCATATAATAATGCCGTTTAAATTAAACGCTAACATTTCAGAGTCCCATTTAGCATTATTTTGAGTAATGTAAAGTTATTACCTTCATAAATTTTGAATAATCATTCCTTGTACGACATCAGTCTAAAAAGTTGATATAATTCTACTTTTAAGTGATTTTTTCATCAGTAAGAGCTAATCTCGCTCCGGTGACCCAAATTAATAAATAAAGCTGGAAAAGGAATTTCGAAATTCACGAAAATATAGTGGAGTTTCCGCTAGTAAAAACAATGTTTTCGAAGTAGCTGTTAGCGCTTGTATGTCAGCAAGCCCCATGGCCAAGGAGTACGAGTCCATTTCCTTCTTTTGATTATATTCATACTTCTAAACTGCGAAACTGAAAAGTGAATAAAAACCGAAAACATTCTTATTTATCACGAAAAAGGCATCAAGTTGCGGCCTACCAAATGTTCACGTTAACACAAAAATATGTTATCTTCAAGAATTTAATTTAACTTGTGTGGCAAGAGAATTGTCCAATAACTTTCAATTCCCTTAACCGTCTATCTGTAATCTACCACATCACTAACCGTCCCAACGATAGAGTTCAGGTATTTTTTTCGAGTGACGTTTTAAAAAAATATGTTTATTTTTATGTTTTGTTTCAATCGGAAGCATAGAGGAAATAATAAGCAAAAACACACCTTCGCAGCCAAAATGAAAGTAGATTTGGGGGAGGTAATTCATTTGTTGTAAAATGCTAACTGCATTTCGTGGGTTCCTATCAGGTTATTTTATTATTTAGTACATGTTTTATTTTGTCCGTAACCTCAGTTTTTGACGCGGCGAAGGAGACCATACAAAGACAGCACAAGAATAATATTCCCCAACAAGATCTTAAGAGTTCGTACGAATCGATCAAATAAACGCTGACTAATAAATTAACGTATAGTGTATACTATAAAGTAGATCTGGCGAAGCCTAAATGTCTAGTTTTATCTTTTATGGGTGGTGATATTTGGCTGGTTAGTCATAAAGGCATAGAGCACTATATTTTTTTTCTTTCGCCCTTTAGTTGACAAAGGTGATGCAAGATATCTTAGAAATCGTCTGATCAGTTACACCTTAAAATGCAAGCGCAATTGAATGTTGGGTGGCTAAGTGTTGTTTTGGAATTGCACGGATTACACTTCAAAAAATGTAATAGATTGATTATCAAAATGATTCTTTGGAAGCTGCATTGTTAGGTGTTTTTTTCGTAGGTGATTGCGTCGATGCCATTAAAGATATATTTTTTTTGTTTTAATATACGTCGCTTGAGAAGTACCCCTCATAAGGCCAGTTTTAAGATTTGTGGACAAGATTCATGATTTTATATCAAATGGTAAAAACTTTATTTACGTGTCAATGTGCTTAGCTTTACAGCTAATGGGGGACGCAGACTATCTACATTCATAATAAGTATTCCTAATAAAAATATAATATATATAAAAAGACTATCACGAGGTACTAGAGTGATGTCCTCATCCACTATATTCTTGAAATCTTCCTAACAGCAAAATTATTACAAATCCATATTGCACAGACAATTCTTTTCCACACTCGGACTATGACTATGCCGGGGATATGTACGTATCATCAAATTAAAAAGAAGCAAAAAAAGCAGTTTTTTTTCTTATCTTTGAGGTAATCCCTTGTTTGTGAAAATAAACTGTCAAAGACTTGTACAAGTCCGGAAGTGTAAAACGGAAACGGAAAAATATCCTGTCAAGTTGACCTACCAATCAAAAAATTTTCATCGGTTTTCAAGAAATTGTTTCCCGTTTCTCAACACAATAGCGCGTCTGGCATAAAAGAAGCTTCCTTGCGTCGCAGCTGCATCGCTTCATTAGGGTTTACTTGAAGACAACCAGTCTGGATCCAAGATGACTCGCTTGATACTTGTACTATGCACGCTTTTGATGGTCACACTGATGATTCTTATTTCTTGCACTGGAACAGGAAAAGGGGTGAGAGTTGTAGTGAGTTGTTTACCATGATATAAATAATTTTTAAAGTTCTATTATTATTATAATTTATTATGTCAAGCTTTATTGGGCAAGATCAAATCGAAAAAATAAAATCGAAAAAAAGTAAAAAATTGAAAATATACAAACATAAAGAATTAACGAACAGGACACTCAGACCCATGCAGAGTGCCAACCCTAAGAAAATATATACAAAAAGTAAAATCTACTTGTAGTAAGAGGAAAGTCTAATTGTAGAAAAATCTATATGTACAAAATTGTCGTCTAACTGTAGAAGAAATCCAAAAGTATTAAAAACAAATTTTGATTGCAATAAGTTTGATTGCAAAATGAATATTTCCCCGTGATAAAAGCACCATTGCAGAAAGTCGGAATAACGTTGAACACAAAAAAGACGCGACGTCAGGACTCTTACAAGAACAATATGCTTCCCTCTGAGATCAGTATATGAGATGCACAATCAACCTTCAAAAACTTGGGGATTTTCTTGTAGGCCGGTTTCGGTACATTCAAGATATCAAGGAACGGGAAGCAAGTATCTGAGAAGGTTAAAGTCGATGTCAAGAAGAACTTGGAGATGTACATTGTGCGAGAACCTGCATCTGCCAAGAAAGCAACGCTGGTCATTATGTACGATTTCAATAAGGTATTTGTCCTTGGGAATTTTTAACTTTAAAATGTTGTTATCGTATTTTTTCGTTTGGAAAACCTAACCTTAAAATCCTTAACATTAAAACCCCTTAGCCACTTTCCGATACTCTCTTTTTGCTAAAATTCAATTAATCAGATTTGCAGGTCTTGGTGGCATGATAGGAATTTACTGAATGTTTTCCCTGTCATTGCTATCATTATCATAATCATAATTATTATAATTATAATTAGTATTTATAATCATAGAGAGGAGAAATGTGACGTAACGCTACCATGGTAGCAAAAGTTTTGGATAACAACAAAAGGGAGCTTATAAGCAACGTCGATGGCGACGGCAACGAGAACGGCAAAAAAGCAATAGGTTTAGATTGGCAAAACAACAATTTTGCGCGTGCATCACGCTTTTTTGTACATTTGTTAGCCGTCATTGCACGACTGCGACATGAAACCTAATTACACGTTAAATTAAATCTCCTAAATTTTCGTTTCCTTTTTGTAAACTTAGATACCATCCTTTGGGATTCAACCCCGAAATTTCGCCAACATTTGACAAATTAAATGAAATTGAATAAAATCTATGAAGTTTGAAACAGTGCGGATTCACTTGTTAAGTGACGTTTTCGGTTTGTTGTCATCCAGAAATTTTGCTACTATGGCAACGTGACGTAACGACTTCTCCTTGCTATAATAATAATAATAATAATAATAATAATAATAGTAATGATAATAATAGTAGTAATTATTATTATTGTTATTATTATTATTACTATTTTTTTTTTATTAATTTGTTATTGTATCAAATGACCACGCAAACTTAAAAAGAAACTTACATAATTCATTGTACTAACTAACGAAAAATTTTGCGTAGGATCTTATGATGATAAAAGATGTGCCTGGGTCAAAATGTTATTTAAAAAATTCCACAGATGGTGCTGTCCGACCTAATGCCTCAGAAAAAGAATTAAACCAGGTTAGTGGGAACCCAGTACAAATGCCGACTGCTTTAAAAGTGATTTTCCAGAAATTAACCCTGGCATTAAATTTATTATCTTATCACATCAGATCCTTTTTAGCGGCCACATATGCAACAACCCGTCATATATCTGGACCTTTTAAATTATCCCGGCACCTGAATTAAATTTAGTTTAATTTGATTTGCCTTTTATTATAAGCTATAAACACAATTTTTGGCAAACTTCTTAATTTCCTTTTGAATATTTATTTTAAAATTTCGAACAGTAGTAGTACCAGGACGAACTGGGTGTGCAATATATACTAGAAGTCAACGTTTAGACTTACCATATCAGCTACCACCGACCATTTCTCCTTTAAATTATCAATGCATGCACATTCACTTTTTTCACGGTATTTTTTTATGCTTCTTTAAGGTGAAAAAGAATTCTAAGATAAAGGTGTTGTCGAAGACTGAGGAAGTCATAAAGAAAGTTGGCAAACTAAATCGGCACATGTACAGCAAGGTTCTTGGTAAGGAGATGGAACGTCTGTGCAAAGGGCTGCCAATCTTCTTGGTAACTCCTGGGGAACTGAATGACATTGAGCGAGTAAATGATTCGGCGCAAGAATCTGACGAGATTCAAGAGAAAACTACTTCGTCTAAACGTACGTGTTGATGCTAGTCTGCTTCCTAATGAGCGTATATGACTGAGAGTTAAAAGGCTTATTTTCTTTTCAAAATCAACTGTTTCTCCTCGATACTACCATCACAGACCTTCTTGCCCGCCATTTTGAATCACCGCTGTGTAAAATGCTCGTGGAAGCCTTAAAAAATGCCAAATGACCTCTCTATAGCTAGTCTCCCTCGCAGCCGTTTTTAGTATCGTCACGCAACGCTACGGCTGCGAGGGAGACTACTCTATAGCCCCCTTGGATTTTGATACGCGACCAGTTGCTAGGTGTGACGCATTTCCGGAAGATGCGTTACTCAGTGTCAGCTTTTTTTGGACCTCGTTTTGCAACTAGGCGCGCCGAAGTATGAAGATTTAAAAAGAGTTTTATTCAAAATTGAAAAGAATTGCTTCTGTAAAGTTAAAGAAATGGGCAGAAAAACAGACCAGAGGATAAGGGGGGCCAAGAAAACGTTTTACCCTCCCTCCAAAATTGTCAGAATATATCAGGTGAGAAGACACACCGGTGTAATTTAAATTTAAAACAATAATAAGCCCTGGAAAACGGAGTATATTTCAAAAACATAACGAATATTGACAAGAAGCAAGTAATATTAGTCATTGCAGCTTCAACGGAAGCAGGAAAAATCAAGTTGGACATACAGCGGCTGTAGTTTGTCAATGAATCCAAGCAGTGAATAAATTTTGTTGAGCGCATCAATAGAACTTGATGCTGAAAAGAGGAGTCAAATGGCGCTCCTGCCGTCTCTTTTCTTAGTAACGGAAATGAAAATTTTTCTTTAACTTCCGGTAAATCGGTCAACTTTTATGTAGATTTTCTCTTAAATGCGAAGGTATATTCAAAAAAGAAACCCAGATATGCATATTACATCATCTGAACTTAATTGTAGAAAGATTTTGAGGGCAAAATAAAATGTTGAAAATTTTCCGGTGCAGATACCTTAAAAACGTAGCTTAAACATGCTTACCTCCATTTGTGCTAAGTTCATCTTTGATAGTGCACGTTTAGGGTTCTTCAGCTCCGCAAATATTCTTCAAATAGCAGATGTCGCGCTTGGAGTTGCTCTTCTTGCTATGTTTTTAGCTATTATTTCGTCTAGTTCTTACTCTTGAAACGAGTGAAATGTCCGCCATTTTGTTTTCACAACCAAAAGAACTCAACCTCGTCTCCAGGTCTTTTCTGTCAACGGTGCATTAACCTGCAACAAAAGCTGCATTTTTGACGTCATCGATTCATTAATCGCAAAATTCTTCCAAATTTGGCCATCAGTTGCTGGTTATGGTGAATTATTGTGTGTGCTTTTAGCCAATCAGAATCAGGGAAATATTTTGAATGATTAATAAAGACTATTAATGTATTAACCAAATTCTGGATTTTATCAGACAACTTTCTATGTAATAAGTTTTTTTCGCCCGAAAGCTGCTTTTAATTATTTTATATATTTATTTAGAAACATTGGTTTAGCATGAGAATAGAGCTAATTTAAACAGAGTCCTGTAAAAAAAAATAAAACAAAAAACAAAACAAAACAAATAAACAGTTACCAAGAAAATCCTTAGAGAAATTAGCACACTTATAAAACACATAAAGACATGCTGTAATTAAAGAGATTATTAAAGAGATTACGTCGTATCTTGTAGCCAAAGCAACTTTTATGGACCCCAAAATTTGTCAAGATAGATTTGTCTAAAGAAATGAAAAAAAAGGCCACTAAAGACGGTAGGTTTTGACTCTAAACTCGTTCTGAAACAGTAAATGAGAGAAAAAACCTTCGGAAGGGGTCCTAAGCACGTACTTTCGTTAAAAAGACATTTTGAAAAAACTTACATGCATATAATTTATTTTCCCCTGCCATTTCATAGTACATGATCAGCCGTTCTTCTAAGTATCTTACATGTAATTTCATTTTGAACTCATCAATTTCTTTTACAGTTGAGCTTTTTTTTATAACCGTCTTTATTAAGTGTATGAAGGGTATTCTGTTCCGAAACGTTTTAGGGTCTCTCCTCCCATCGCGGCCTAAAGGAACAGATCTTGTTCCTCAAACTAACGATGCTCTTTTCTCTTTGTGGTCTCTTTTAACTTTAGGCCAAGTGGAGAGCTCTTGCGGAACAAGATACTGCTGGTACGAAAAAAAAAAATGCTGGTGCGAAACAAAATGCAGTTACGAAGAAAAATGCAGGTACCTTTCCGATCCGCAACGGCAATGTGCGATCCCGGTCTAGGGATCCTTTATTTCCATGGAGATACCCACAAAATGGACTCAAGTAACAACAAAGCGTCATTCTTGTAATCAGTTCGCACATTTTCTTGTGCACCTTAGGTGTCTTCATTAATCGCTTTCTGTCTGTTCATCTATCAATAAAATCAAGGGCAGATTTAGGGGTGGGCCCAGGGGGCCCCGGTACCCCCTTTTGTCCGATAATTTGTTTTTCTTTTGTAAACGTGTGTTTGATAGCACTTCGACCTTTGTTACTTTAATATATTTTCTTTAATAAACATTGTTAATAAGAAAAGAATCTGTGCTCGAAGCCCCCATTTTTAGTCGCAAATGACCAAAGTTCTCAGAATGCATGCAGCGAGTATAAGTAAGTATATCCGTCTAAAATGAACTAGATTTGACAAGTTTTCAGGGAGACAATGCTGCCGCCTTTACCGGAAGGTTGTGCTCTCGCTGCGACCGCTTCGGCCCCTGCTAGCACCATAAAATGTTAATTACTTCTTTGACCACAACAATATTTCAGCATTACATGTTCAATATGGAATCCAATCATTTGCTAAAATATTAATCGTCCAGAATTCACTAGATGGCATCTCAGAGAACTTCAGTCTCAAAAACGAAACTCCCTAGAAAAGTGCGCCGTTCGCATGCAGTCCTGATCGATGTATTGCCACTTTATAATATATCTCTAGGCCCCCTCGATCACAAAATCCTCCGTCCGCACCTGAAACTCATCAGGACAGGGCACAAATTTGCATCAAATATAAGAGCTTGTCCACTGCGCGCCGAATTTATACCATCGGAGCGAGATATTTTTAATAATGGTTCTCGTCAAAATCGCTCAATGAAAATAATTAAGTTGATGGTTGGTGTTAAAAAGGGTCTTGTTGCTAAGTCTTGGAGAAAAAGAAATATATTTTTTTCGCTACTTAAGCGAATGGCAAAATCTAGCGCTTAGCGGAAGGTCGAATCGAACATCCCTCCAAAGTAATATTCAGTGCGTTACCTGGTAAATTACATATTGTAAACGAAATGGTTTCAATAGTTCATTATGAAAAAAAGTTGGCATTATGTCCGAAGAACAGAAGCTGTGTTCGACGATATAAGCTAAGAGAGAATTTTATTGTTTAAACTGGTCGAAAAGCAGCTTGTTATGGCTCTCGCGTGATCGTTGAAGCCGTCGATTTAACGACACAGAAATCGTGGTTACAGGAAAAAGCAAACTGAGTAGTGAAATAGAAAAATATTTACTTGCCTTTGGTATTTTGTAGATCCTCGATTACCATACAATGATGCGAAAATATTGTAATTCAAAGGGCATTTAGAAAACCCGCCAAAAGAGCCTTGATCTCGCCAAAATGCTCATACCATCTAACAGTGTAAAAAGGGGGTCGTTAGGCACCACACGACTTTTACCTCGTGCCCAAATATTGTTTGTTCCAACTATTTTTTTTCTTTGGCGGGTATAATTTTTTTCTGGGTTCTATGCTTTGACTGAGTGAATGTGAATTTGGCCACTCAGAGTTTCATACTGAGAAGTCTTGACACGCATATTAATTTGCCCTCTGATGCAAGAGCATTTTCTTTGACCCCTTTCGAAATTTAAATCTCTTCCTTTGCGGTTAAATAATAGTCTTAGGTTGTTTAATCTTTTTCAAAGTGCCTCCTGGATCGAAATGGCTAAGGGCGATATTCTTTTGTCCGTGAATGTGATGGTTTCGTTCAATAACTTCAATGTTTTGACACGCTGGGCCCAGCTCGTTTAGTGTTTTTACAGGTCCAAATTTCGAAGAATGGATTCTGGATTGCAGCTTAAACTGAAGCTACATCAGCTATGGAGAATTGCGATGTGACTCAGTCAAAATTGCTCTTTAAGCAATGATTTTTAAACTCCAACTTGTGTTTTTTCTAAAAATAACGTGAGTTTTACGACTAGAGCGCGTAGTTTCTCCCTTGGTAGTTAAGTTTAACAGTCTAGCGACTGTTCTGTTATTGTTATTTTGTGATCAGGCAAGACCATGGTTTCGGTTTCCACGCGAACTTCATCAGTTGCCTGGTTGGCTTTATGCTTAGTTGCTTTTACACGAGCAATTCTAGTTATTGTGTCGCGGCGAGAACGGTAAGCCGTTCTGTCTAGTCAAGCTGAGCTTTGACCTGGACATTTATTTAGTACCCGCGCCGCGGATAGAAAGTTCTTGCTTTCTTATTGGCTGTTGTACGTAACCAATTACGGAGTGTCCATTTCGATCCTCTTCTGCTTGAAATGTGTTTTTTTAGGAACGCATTTTGTGGAGAGATCTTTTTTAAGTGAAAAAACAAAACAAAACAAAAACTCATAGCTTAAATCGATCATGTTTTAGCTAGCCAATTGTAGTTTTCATAGGTTGTGTTTATTTGGATATTTCAGTAGATTTTTCTCTCCTCTCCCTCCTGGCTTACAGGCGGCGTGCCTAAGTTTAAGAGGAGAAGAATTTAAGGTAAACAAGAACACGCTTATAGCGGCATTCCGTCTGGCCTGCTTGGAGATTAGATCGAGAAATGAGGAGACGATTAATTCTACAAGAAACATAATTTACTCGCTAAAGGTTTTTTCCTTCCTACTTTATCGACGTCGATACTTTTTTGTTTGTTTCTGAATTGATTTAGTACGCGTGTTAGCGAGGACCAGAAATACCTCTCCAGTAGCAGGCTATACGCGTGTTTAAATACACGAAATTCAAGGGCCTTGATTCCAGAGAAATTACATCATTGCCAGATTTACATGACACGTCATTTCAATCATCGCCGAAAATAAATCGCATGCTCATCACAAGACTCATTTGTATGCAGTGAAAGTTTACCACACCCGACCATCGCAATTTTGCTAATTACGATTCTCATTTTTTTTTCGTTCACTCAGTAGTGTTCACTTGTTCCACAGTAATCAACGCTTTCAAGCGATAGAATTCGTGGACCGACACTTTTCGGAAAAGCTCTAAATTTAATCTTTCCTAAGCCTTCTTCGCAGAACATGCGTGGCTTCGATCATGCAACGATTCTTAGTCCAGTTTCCACGGTCTCCGCGAGGAACGCCTGGCACAATGACCTGCCTTTTGTGACCCAAAATGCGACCAAATATTCGGGGGGGTACTTCCAGAAAAATTGGGTGGGCATGTTCAGCACGCTTCAAGAAACCCTTACCCTTTTTCAGACCAAAATCTGTGATGTTCCCTACCCAATTTCAGACCTGATGAAAAATTTGGTACCCTGAAACCCTGGAGCCCGGTCCATGACCGGACCGCGTGACAAGCTGTTAAGGCACGTACACGGTAGTTGGAGTAACCATTAAAAGGGAAAAGGTCTTATCGCCAAATGATGAAGAAGTAGCTAATTCTTCTAAAAAACCTGCCCAATTCAAGACTAGAGTGTACAAACCATACCCTCTTTCAAATCAAAATGGTCGAAATTGATACCTATTTCAGACCAAAACTGCTAAAAAACCATACCTCTGGCGCGGCACGTACCTACATAGCCTATATAAGAGACTACCCCCCAAGACCCCCCCCCCCCCCCCCCCCCCACCCGAGGCGAAAAACGCGTTGCAGATTATGAGTCTCGCTGCTTACGCATGCGAGACTAAAAAGTCGTAGCTTGAATCGATAATGTTTTAGCTAGCCAATTGCATTATCATACGGTGTGTTAGTTTAGATAAAGACCAATTTTTGTCTCCATAAATTGTAGTTAATGAGACAATCATGAGAATTATGTGTGTGCAAAAGAGAATGATCATTCTCTCTTGGTGTGCGTTGCGTGACATGCTGTAAAATAGGGTGGGATTTCACAAACCAAGTTCACTTCCGTTCACGTGTGGGTCTACCGTGTAATCTGCAGCCTTTAGCCAATCAGGGTAGTTTTTATTTCAGTCAATCAAGTCCTAGGGAATCGAACGCAAGCCTCGTGTTTATTCATTCCTTTGCTCGAGCAGGCAAGGATTATCTGCTTTGCTTCATTCCAGTACAATTATTTTCCAGCTCAATTATTGTATTCCTTTACCGGGAAATCTGTATCTTGCTTCTCGTGACGTACGGAATAGCTGTATCTCGCTTCTCGCGACGGCACAAGTCATCATAGTCATGCCGCCACGTGCACGAGTTCAAGGCAGGTCGAACCGCCAAAGTACGCTGCCATTCATCGATCAAACCGTGCTGGGAGTTCTCTCTCCTGCGGACCTTCATTCCCTCTGTATACAACACGGTCTACCGTCGACTGGGGTTCAGAAAACGCTCGAACGCCGGCTTTGAGAGCAAAACATCAGCCGCTGTAAACCAGCAGCCCAACACGGCCAACACATCAACAGCGACACAGCTGCTACGCGTGAAGATTTCAGCGAGGGTCAGATGTTAACTATACGACAGCTGATCCAGGACACAGTGCAACGTGTTGAGTTTTTACCTTTTTAATACAAGTCTAGGTTTCCAGAAACTACAGAAAACTGAACACAACGAGTCCATCACGTGGCGAAAAAAGGCGCGAGTTCAACACTAGATCGAGGTGATGACGTATCTGCCATAACACATTATGACATCAGAATAAATTAACATCAGTATATAAATAAACGGTTCAATAACAGTCTTTTTCAACAATCAAGCCGGGAGATAGCCAACGAAGCGGCTAAGGCCGCCGTGAACGCCTTTCAAGCCCAAGCTGCATCAAACGATCGCCTCCCCGCTCAACGGCCACCTTCGCTGATCTTGCCTGACACAGAGTGCCCCACGCGCGCCGCGGGAGTCAGCTTCGCCTCAACTTTCTAGGACATCCCGGCGTAGTACATCAAGGAAATACAGAGTGGTGAGTTCTTTGATTTAACAAAGTACTACCTGAGAATCTGTGGCTGTACGACGAAAATGACACCTTAGTTCTATCGTTGGACGACTCTGTTGTTAAAGTCTCAAGGAAATCTAAGCCGACGGCCACCATTTCAATTACAAACATTGAGCAGTGGACAACGGTATTTACGTCTTACATGAATGTGCTGACCCACAAGTTTCCGACCCGATTACAGGAACTTCTGCAGTATGTTGGTCTAATAAGATATGCAGCGCGTGTACACAAGGGGTTAGGCTGGCCCATTTGTGATTTTAAGTTTCGCCAGAAAGCCAGTGTTGATAAGTCTCTTGATTGGTCAGCTACTGAAAATCAGCTATAGTTGACCGTTTTTACAGTGTTGCCAGCGGTACTCAATGAAGAGTATCCACTTTTTTCCCAAGGACCCTAGC